AATATATTTGTTATACGAAAGCTCTGTGTCTGTGGTCGCTGTGAGTATCCATGACGTCACAATACAATGAATGAAGATAGGGTCTCGGGTGAGGGTGTCAAGAGATACTAGACCTGTAGTCGAAGATATCCCGGAAGACCGAGGTGACGATGGCACGAAAGTTTTTAAATCCAAGTAAAGTAACAGACCTTTTGCCTACTAAGGAGTAGAAGTGGAAATAATAGTAGTAATAGTATTATAAATAGATTAATAGTAGTGGTAGTAGTAGTAGTGGCAATAGTACAACTATTACTAAAAGTAATAGTAGCAATTGCAATAGCGGTGACGGTGGGGTCAGTGGTTTCCTAATAAAGATGGCATTTTTATGCAAGATGAAGCACAATGCCACAAAGAAAAAAGTCATCAAAAATTTGGAAGAAAAGCAATTTAAATTGTTACCATGGCTACGGAATAACTGTGACGAACCCAATAGAAAATTCATGGTATATTAACAAGAGTACTCAGGTGAAACGTTGGTAAAGATTATGCCAAACAGGATAAAGTTGTTGAATAAGAACAAAGGCACGCACACTAACAGTAAGTATTAAATGTATGAATGTAATATGTAGCCCACTGTAAACGTATAATAAATGCAAATCTTTTACGGAAAATGACATAAGTCCAATAATTTTGTCTACGTTTGTACTGTTAAAGTTTTGAAACATTATCTCTCAAAGTTTCGAGGAGCACTTTTCCTCTTTCCAGGAACCTATTTGAATATAACCAGGAAATTATATAAAATATTATATATGAAACATTGCGAGATAATAATGTATCAAAAATTTAACAGTACATTTCAATAAAATTTGAATCTAAATTATATATTTTATTAGAGTTTTGTTTTTCAATATGTACAATATACGACAGTCTAAAATAAAACTGGACAAAAATCTAATAAAACCCAAAGATAGTCGGAAGACAGTGATTAAAAAAATTATTCATGAATAGCACGTAGTAGATCGAAATCCAACCTCAGTCTACCTCTCAGTATCTTCTTTACTTCACTGGCCTCCCGCGTCTCTTTGTTCTTCCAGGCAGCTTCGCCCCTGCCGCCTCCGTTCCGGTATTTCTGTTGGCGCGGTGCGAAAGATTGGCCCGATCGAAACGTTTTCCCCAAGAAAAGGAACTCGACGGAAAGAGAACAGTTCGCTCTTGCGGGGACGTCCAAGTCTCTTCGTCACCTCTCCCCCGCCCGCCCGCACCAGGTGCACTGTCGACTCATTAAGTTAATTGAGCCGCTCCACTCAACTGCCTCTTTGTGTCAACAAGTCGCCGCCGCACTTCGAGGCTGCCTTCCGTGGGTGGGTGTGGGTGGCTGGGTCGGGCCCGGTCGCTCGCCCGCCTCGCTGCCGGGCAGACCCACAAAAAGGGAGGGTACACAATGGACGTGTGTGAGCAACGCCAGAGAGGCTGCGTTTGGCCACGCGTTCTCCGGCTTTCGCGTCACGCCCCCCCCCACACGCACACACACAACAACGCATCTCATCGTCTTAGCCATCGCAGTCTACAGCACACAGCCTACTGCTTGTATCTGGCATCATCTCCGTTATTATTTCGGGGGTAGTTTTCAACCGTAAAAGCTCACGACGCTGCCTTCGCCGCTCCTGATGTGCTCACAACGTCCCAGTGTTGGTGTCACCTGCCCTCCGACACATGCCGTTCTCTGCACTTCCACTCTATTCTTCCCCTCCGCTTTCACATCCTGTTCTTCGCATTCTTGTCCTGCCTGCTCTAATCAAAAAATCTTTGTTTTCATGTCCTGCCCTCTCACACCATTCGTGCTCTCGTCTTCTCGTTCGCCCATTACCTCCCACCTTCACTCACCCGCTCCCTCACGTCCCGCCTGAAGTTACTCTCTCCTTCTCCCCATCCCTCCATTAGTTCACTGCCACTCACGTCCCTTCTCTATTCCTACCTCAACTTCAAAATCCCGATGACTGCACGACTCCGTCGCCCCCAGTCGCCCGGAACGTCAATCTCTTCCGACGATCACGAGATTTCCATTTCATTGTTTTCTAGTACCCTTCATTTCTTTTCCCTCTCTCCCTTCTATTTTCGTCAACACAGCAACTTGTTGGCAGTAGTCGAGTAAACAGGCTGGGTTCACCTCGATCACAATCACCGTTATCTGCACTGCCGAGGTGTTCATTTACTTCTGTAAAATGTGTAGACGCCACCGCCTTCACCTCTGTTGCTGGTGCCCTTAGCTTTGTTCTTTGCCCTCTATTTCCGATTCTTTATCTTCTGCTTGGCTCCTCCAATATGGACATCTTTGTTGTCTTCATCGCACGTCTTGGAATTGAGACGGCTATGGCGTCGTTGCCGGAGGCAGAACGAAGGGTCAATGGGTTGACATGCACAGCAAATATGGAGGGAATGATGAGGACAGTGTTGGAGGACTGTGGTGTTGAGCGTTGGTTGTGAATGTGACGATTGGTGTAGTGAAGAAGTGGTGGTGATGGTGTTGGCTGTAGTGGCAAAATGTAAATTTGATTATTGATCTTTTGAGTGTTATGGTAAATGTGTGTGCGTGGGTTTCAGTATATTTTGAGAGACAATGGTGCCAATGATGGAAATGCCGGCAGGCACATCGACGGTGGCGGCGGGGGTGATGGTGGTAATGGTGATGACGGTAGTGGCAGTGGAGGCAGTGGCGATAGTGCCGACAATAGCGCGAGTGTGACAGCAGGGAAGCGGTGGCGGCGGTGGTCGCGGTGATTACCGTGGAAGTGGAGGAGACGGTGTCTTCGCATTGGCATGGCGGAAGGGTGGCCGTGACGCAGCGAAAAAGGAGCAGGGCGAGCGACGCACGAAAACAGAGGGTTGCAACGACCCACCGCAAGGGCGGCCGCTGCTTCATTTGCTAATAGCACCACCTCCCCCCCCCATGCAGCCCCAAATATCTCGTCAAGCAATTACGAGCCACGCCGAAAACAACTCTGCCGAACAAGTCCCCGGCTCAAGCGCTTCGAGTTGTTTTTGAGTAAGAGCAGAGGGTTCATTTGCATTTCCGCCAAGCCCATCGTCCGTCAGAAGCTGACAAGCGCTCGAAAATACGCTCGAAGATACTCAGTGACGAGCGCCTGTTTCAAGAACACTAATCGCAAAGACGATGCATTTATTTCTCGTTAACATAATGTTACACCCTTGTTTTGTTCGGCCCCGTATTCTGTACGACAATGTATACTTCCAAGCGGCAGAAAATGTTATATTCGTTGCGTTGCGTAACATTTAAAAAGATGTCTCACGTTCCGAATAAAAATTACTGGAATATGAAGATTTATTTATTTAAAACGAACTATTCAAGAATGACCAATCCATGTCAGTCTCCAGCAAATGGAGTTACTTTATTTGCAAAGTGACCACACATCCTACCCAAATTAAATGTTTTCTTGCTAGATGAAATGCTTTTTCCAAGACAAATGTCAATTAATTTTTTAGTTAATTTGAACCTGCGTATATTATACTATAAATGATTTCGAGGAGTAAGGTGTGTATAAGTAGGCTAACAATACAGTACTCCATGCTTCTTTTAATATCAATATCCCGGAATGTCCTCGAGCGGTCCATAATTTGAAGAGGAGATTCAAAGTAGAGTCCTAAGCTACGAGTATCGAGGGTTCCTATAATAAAGACAGCGCAGTTGCGAGACCAAATGCTCAACTCGTCTGGTGGAACTTGTTTTCCCGAGCGACGTCGCCGCTCGTAACCTTAATTCCTCCAAGTTTTCGACGGAGGAAAACCTAGGAGTAACGGCGCGTCTTGCGCAGTGACGAAAATTAAGCTGAGTGCTCGTAACATAAACTAGACTCATCACACATTTTTAGCACAATGTAAATAGAGACTACGGTGGGTAACTGGCTGAAAGGAACGAAGTAAGCTTAATGCAGGTGACTATTTTAATTGCATAGACACTCCAGCAACCGCTTTTGTAAGACTAGACTGTAAGAGTGTATATTATACATTAGCATAGCATAACTCCATGGTTATGCTACATAAAACAAGTTAATTTCGCAATACCCAAAAACCGTGCATGAGGGCACATTACCTTCCAATTGCAATGTTATTGTAATATAAAAACAAAATATTCCTAAATCAATTTTTTGTGATATGGCTCTTTCAACTTGAAACAAAAGTGTTAAATTTCATCACGATACTATTTATTTGGCCAAATGTTGAAATATATAAACAACAAAATTTGAGGCGCTCATCGAGACCATTTTACCATCATACTTTATCTATAAAACAATTTTTAATTTTGGAACATGGGACCTCGACTATGCTAGTTTAATCACGTAGGCTAATGCATGTTTATTATGATCCATGTTGCTTATCCTCATTGCCATGCATGGAGTGAAAACGTATTGATTGATATTTATGACGGTATGATGAGAAAAACAAAAGCACAGCGGTGGAATAAGAGGTAGGGGATACGAAAGACCCCAAGAATAGTTGACAAAACCTACTTATTGTCGTAATTCGTAAGTGACAAAGGCGGTTCGTGGCAGGTGATTATTTTTACACATGCATCGCCCGGGATTTGAGACGTTCTTAGGATTATCAACTAGCTAGATAGCTAGATCAACTTCAGCTGCCGATTGGAGGAGAAGACTAGCGGCCGGAATAATACTTTCATATGATTTGTTTCTGATGCAATAAACCTAAATGTGCGTTCTATTTCGAACACGTCTTGTAATATTAGGGAAATTTTATACGTAATTATCGCAGACTTTTGTCCACCATGATGTATAACATAAATTCACGGCAATTATTTTTTTAATTTACCAGTACACCAAAATTTCCGATTAATGTATGCACGCAAGATGAAACAGTATCCGAATATACTGCAAATTATTAATTGACCAAAATATCTTGTTGGTTTGCTATTATCGTGTATTGTGATTGAGAAGGCAGGAAGTGGGTATACAATGACGGCGTAGATCAGGAACTCAGCACGAATGTTCAATAATATCAGATTTTATTGCTTACGTTTTGTCCTGCCATGATGGAGGTATTCAATGCTTTTTTAAAAGTCTTTACTCTCAATGGTTTGCTAAAATTGGTTGCATAAAACATATTATTTTGTTCTATGCCTATCAATTATTGATTTTGTATAATCAATTTGCTTCATCTTTATGTAATTTTCCCTTGATTGATTGATTGATGCTTCTGCACGCCAACTGCGATGATTATTAGTTCCGTTAGTGTACTTAATATCTTATCGCGAGAATTCTTTCCCTAGTGGTTGGTGAGATCCGCCGTCAACATGTTCGTCGGCTTACGCGATATTTTCCATTCCAAGAATATCTCACAGCAGGCCATCCCTCCAGCCGTTCTAGCTCTAGGATCCCGACGGCTTACTCGACATGGCTCTACACGGTAGCGTAGCGCATGTCAGTGTAAGCGTGTGTAAGTAATGTGAGAGGATAGGACAAAGAAGGAAACATCACGCGCCGCCCATCGCCCGTTTGTTGGGGTACTGCTCCGGCATTCGACTGATATTGATCGGAGAAAGCCCAGAAAAGTACCAGTGCGAGCAGCCGGTCGCTAGCATTCTCCTTCCAATAGCGTCTAAATTCGACCTAGCTACTAACATCTACCGCCGACCGAACGCGAACCTAGGACCTCCCTGTAGAGTCGTGGCTCCGCACCTCCGCGCCTCCTGCCAGCAGAGGCAGCGACGGCCACGACACAGGCAGAAGCATCCAAGGCCGGAGAGATCCTGCGCGGCGCACTCAGCAAACGACGTCGTTGCGGGGGCGGCGGAGAGGGCGGCGGGAACAGTGGGCGCCCCCCCCCCACACACACACACACACAGTCTCAGCGCACGCGCTCGGCAAGCGCGCCGCACGCTTCTTCTTTCACACTCCCGTGCCCGCGAGAATATATGTTGGTGATTCAAAATAAAAGGCTCTTCACGTATAATTTATTTTCAATTAACGTTCTCGCAATGCTTAGAAACTTTTTTAATTACGGTAAAAGCAAACTGTAACAAAAGCACATTCAATGCTTCGTATTAGTCCAAAAAATTAAAAACAAAACGTCTCAAACTTTGGTTTTTACGCTGTATTTTCTCAAAACTAAATTTCACGTACGAAGGTACCGGTATTTTCAAATGCACTTTTCGTGGGCCAGTTACATCCATGATTTTTATTTAATGAGGGAATCAAAATATAGCGACTAACGCAATATCCATATCGCTTTTACTTTTCTAAGTCGTTTCTGAAATAGGTTTTAGGAAATGCACACGTAGGTTAATAATGTTCTTATAAATATATTTATACAATAGTTAGAAAAAGAAAAAATCAATTCTGTGACAAAAATTTAATGAATGTGGAAAATAATTGGAAGAAGGAGGTAGTTGAGAAAATTGAACTCCATAAAAATATAGCATACAAGTATGTCTATTTGTAAGGTATTTGAGATTAAACAAACCGATTAATTTAAATTACATTGTCCACGTTCCGGCCATTTATGCTGTCTTTATCAGTGTTTACTGTCAATCTATCATAATTCGTTATGTCTACATTTTAACTTTCATTATTTCGAACAAACTACAGACATGAAAGAATAAATGGTCTAGTAGTATAATAATAAATATGATTCTGGAGTCCGTTTGCAGTTCGATTAGTAATTTATTTCAACTTCGGAGGTTCAGTAAGGATTTAGTTTGCACTATGCAAAAAAATTAGTAGAAACGAAGTTGTGAACAGTGACTACAAATAAACTCTTTTCAGAGTTCAATGTTCAGTTGGGCTTCTGCGACAACAGTGTCAGCAATTGCACTGATAAGAACTTGAGGTAAATATTACCTATCTAATACATTGGCTTATTTAACGTAGCTGAACAGTGGGCCGGACGCTTGTATGTAACGTCTG